TAATATAGTGTATTTTATTTTATATTATATTCACTTTGCATAGCTTTTAAATGGGAGAAAACATACCTTTAGATTCGCCCATTTACAGGGTATACGCAATTTATTGAGTATCCATTTGTACGGCGGGTTCGCTCTCATTAGCTTTAAAAAGCACAAAGAGGCAAAGAGAGAGCTTTTGCTTAGTGCTGAAGCAAGTGAATCGTATAAATAAATAGCCGGCAAATACTGCTGGATCACAAATAATGACTGCAAATCAGAGCTGTAATCCCGATGAATTGGAGGTGGTGGAATGGCTAGACTCTCAGTTCTTTACCGAAGTGTTGCAGCATTACGAAAAGGCGCCGGAGCTAAGGTTAACTGATCTCAGGCTGTCGCCAGCCAGTGCGCAGGGGGATCACTATGCGAGTGTCATGTTCCGTGCTTGGGTGGAGTACTCAACTGACAAAGGAAGCACTGCCAAGTCGCTAATCGTCAAGGCAATGCCGGAACAGGGCGGCATGAAGCGAAGAATGGTGGGTGAATCACGTATATTCCAGACGGAGATCGCCATGTATACGAAAGTTCTGCCCAAGTTCGAGGCGGTGCTGCGAGAGGCAGGCGAGGAGACGGCGCTCTGCGTGCCTTGCTTATACCACAGCTTGGAGCCACGGCAGGTGCTGGTCTTCGATGATCTGCTGCCTCTGGGATACCAAGTGATTCGCAATCGACCTCTCACGTCGGACGAGCTGCGCTGCGCTCTGGACAAGCTGGCCAAATGGCACGCAGTTAGCCACAAGCTGCTGAAAGAGGATCCGGACTTATTTAAGGACCTGCAATATAATATGGCTACGCTGCCCAACTTTCTGAATCAAAGCTACATAGCAAACGCTTTGCCCAACTTTATTTACATGCTCGACGAGGTAGAGAGCCTGAAGAAGTACAAAAGGTACTTTGAGGCCATGCGGAGAAATCTGATCCAGAATTGGGCAGATACATTGAACGAGTATCGCCAGAGCCCCCGAGACGATTCGTATTATGTCCTATGCCATGGCGACTTTCACATCAGGAATTTGATGTTCAAGTGCGACAGCTGCATGCTGATAGACTTCCAACTCTCCCATGTGGGTCCCGTGGTTAATGATTTCCTCTATGCGATGTACACGTTGTTCTCCACCGAAGAGCGTGGAGCGCGAAGGGACGAACTAATTAAATTCTATTTGGAGAGACTTCAGCACACGCTAATAAAGATTGGCTACCTCGCCAAGGCGCCCACACTCGACGAATTCCAGAGCCAGATGATTGATAAGAGATTTAATGGTGAGTGCAGAATATGAGAAATATTTCATATATAGCAGATTAAATTAAATTCATTTACTTAGAGTTTCTTTTGCTGACCACGTTTTTGCCCATGCAAATTGCTGCCCGGAAGAATGCCATTGACCCTTTGCGACGACGTACGAGTATGTACAAGGATGAGGACTACCAGCAGGAGGTGGAGTGCCTATTGCAGCGCATGACTGATCAAGGCTACTTCAGGGATATATAGAATCCTGCTTAAATATGTGTGCACTGTAGGTCTACATTGTCCCAATGGACTGAATGTTACATTATAAATTAAGTATATCAAACATGAATTAAATTTATTCTTCTTCTTTCGCTGGAACAGAAGTTGTTTGGAGAAAAGACATTTTCTTTCAATTTTTTATACCCTGAACCCATTTTCAATGGGAAATCAGGGTATAATGGTTTTGTTGAAATATATGTAACAGGCAGCAGGAGGCGTGGCAGACCCCACAAAGTATATATATTCTTGATCAGGGTGACGAGCTGAGTCGATTTGGCCCTAGCCGTCTGTCTGTCCGTCCGTCTGTCCGTATGTATGAACGCGTCGATTTCAGAAGATATAAGATCCCGATCTTTTTTATCGATAAAAACCCTTATCGAAAACCAGTTATAAAATTATATCTACTACACCTTTATTGCTAGAGTCTCCAAACTTTTTATATATGCGTACATATATGCAATGTATACAATTTCGTATTTGTTAAAATTTATTGAAATAGCTATTACTTCAAGGGATTTTTATTTTTATTTAAATATTTTTTTGTTTTAAAA